AGACTTGAGTTCTCAAGGGCGATGCAAAGAGCTTCCTCTGAAAAGCATGCAGCTCAGGCTTCAACACCTTGCTGGGTAGCCTGAGCAAGGCCTCACAGCAGCTTGGACATACTGGGAGGGATCCCTGTTTATCGCCTATAGCAGTGCCTAGATTTGCTCCCACACTCTCCATTAATTTACCTGGATTCCTATATCTCGATATAAGGTGGGAGCAAAGCCTGCAGCTGCTCTTGAACCTGTCTGGAGATGGTTTTACCCATTTGGCTGCTCTTCAAGCATGCAGCTACTTGGCGGATCCCTGGTGCTTGAAGGCTAGTATAGGGATACTAGCGGGGGTCAGGGGAGTGACCATAAAGCGATTATGCACTATAACCACTGCAGAGTCATTCTGCCATGGGTGCTATACGGGATCCATTTCCTCCCCGCCGAGTAGACGCTTTCTTGATGAACTGACGTGCTCTCCACATTATCCCACCCTTTGTCCTATTTTTTGGCCAAGAGTCATTGAGTTTGTATCGACCGGCACAAGGTTAGTAGATTCGACAGTCCGTGGCCGGGGTGTGGCATTCACGATCCCCTTCAGCGTCAGCTTCCGCATCTCCTCTAGGCTGAATCACGGACAAGTTATACCGTCTTAGACGGCACGTGGCTTCTGCCTTCCACAAGCTCGAACCTAGCACCTTTCCTCTCAAGCCCTAGGCTCGCAAAACAGACACAAAGCTCCGGAGGCCTCTAAACCAACCCTAAAAGTCTTTGCGCAAGGTTTGGGGAGCAAGTGGCAGCTTTCGCAGCAGCTTTTGAGCAACTTTGGCATTGTTGGGCAGAATTTTTCATGCGACGTCTGTAGCCCCCAGAAACTCCGCACAAACATCCACGACTACACTTTCAGTATAGCTGCCATGTGGAGTAATTACTACAGAATCCCTACAGCTTGTGGAGCTGTCGCTGGTTAGCCCGTGTTGCTGATTCTCAGGTGTTCGGTCTACGTCTTCTTGTTGTGGAGCTCTGAACCCCAACTTGGCAATTAGCACACACGCACACACACACACAGAGACCTCAAGACCTAAAGCTCTAAACCATGAACCCGGGTCTAGGGCTTTGGCACAAGAAGCCCTAATCCCTGAACCCTCATTGGCTAAAACGAGTATCCTATTACCCCAATTGCCTACCTTTCTATGTGTGCTACCAATGTTCTACCCATGAATTAAGCGGTACTTACTACTAAACTGTAGGTGATTGGGGTTACAGGACCTCTGTCTCTGTACAGGAGGGATGCAGGGCCAGCCTCGCGCAGTGAAGTTGCACAAGTCCGCAGCAGCGACTCGGCCGCCTTTCATCTTACTGGTGGTTAGCAAGGAATGACTACGGGAACGCAATCCCTATATAATGTATGTCTTTACTCCCTACTAACCACCAGGAAGTCGGGCTTGTTTAAGGTTGTTCGTACGGGGAATGGAAAATCAAACGGAAACTACGCATGTGTTTAGGGGTTAGGAGTTAGGGTCTAGGGTTTACGGGGCATTATCAGTAAATACGGGGGGGGGGGGCGGGCGGGCAATACAGACCCAAATATGTTAAATTATCATTTGATCATGATCCTTTCTTATGGGACCCCTTCCAAAAAGAATGGAGGCCTAATTTTTGGAACACCCCATATTGATTGGAGTTTGGCTAGATCTATGGCGATGCGGTACTAGTGCTTGAGATTTCTTGACTGGGTATACCCTGGCATGTGATGCAGGCGGATTCACAGGGATTCAAAGGGTTCTTAGCAAAGAGCTTGACCGGCTGCTTTTTAGGAGTTTGCCGCAGCGGCCTGCGAAGCTTCAATGCAAGGCTTCAGGACAGGCCCAGCTGCCCCTAAAGTCACAGTTCTCCTCAGCAAGCTAATTTTGCGCCACCCTCGAGGTGACCTCACAGGTAACAAAACTCGTCATTTTGTCCCCAAGCCGCATAAGACACGCACAGTGTTGAATTCAGCGCTTCTTGAGTTTGCTTCTTTGCGTGAGTTATTCGGAGGTTGCAGGGTTGGGGAGGGTCAGTTTCAGGATCGGCTCCGTGCAAGCACTTCGTAAAGGAATCTTCGAACCATCGTGAGCATCCTGCAGGACCAGCCAAAGCGTAGAGACGGGAACCTGGTCCTGGTGCTTCGGGGCACGGAGCTGTCAGCTGCGGGTGCTGCAAAAGGCTCGAAAAGGAGGTCTTCGTCTTTCGGTCAAAAGTTCGCGCTCGTGGCCTGTGTCCGCTGCTCTCTAATATTCTAAACCCCTAGTATCTCCCGTAATGAGACCTATAGTACTCTCTTATATAATCCCCTCTATACTCCCCAACCCTTAACCCTATATAACCCCCCTTTCAGGAGTTTAGACTATAGCTCAGAGTGTAATGCCATGACCAGCCAGGGCATGGATCCTCGAAGGCGGGGGCTGGCCACATCCAGCAATCTGTTTGAAATGGCAAGAACATTAGTAGACAGGAGTAATAATAATAGTCAGTAACAGCACTAACAGTAGTAATGATTGTAAAAGAAGTAGGAAGAGTAATAAAAGTATGAAACATCATAGTGACAATCATATAATACGAAGAATAATCATAATCGCAATAATACTAGTAGCCATCTGTTTGAAATTGCAGCTGAGCCCAGAACTTTCTTGAGGCTGCCAGCCCCTGCAAGAGAGATATTAGACTCGCTAGGAAAGCTTCTTTGCAGGTCGCCAAAGGCCGAATTGAAGATGATACCATTCTGGTCGATGGCAAGTTGTGGCCCCAGCCAGCATGAGAGCAAGTGTCGCGTTACTTTGCTCGCATGGGCTCTGACGAAGCCAGATTTAAGTTGCAATGTCAGATGGCCTCGCAGCCTTTGCATTTGAAGTAGGGTCGCTTGCCCGCTAGCTTCTGGGCCCTGCTTGAATGATGCACCGCCATCAGAGATGTCCGATTCAGCTCATTATACTTGATTATGTAATTCACGCAACAGATGACAGATGCCTCCTGCATTATCATGACTTCCAATGCTTGTGTGGAGGTTGGGGGCTTGTGCGGACACACAACGCAGTGGCCCTCCAGACAATCCCTCAGCCCATGTGTTCAACTTGTGCATCGAATGGGTTCATGTCAGAGACCTTGCAATCTGAAACAGCACCCTTCGCCACAACAAAAACCAGCTCCCAGTTAGCGACCCCGTAGAACAGGCCCAATATGTGGAAGCACCACAGCATGAGACTTCGCTGAATGACTGTGCACTGACGGATTTTGGGGAGTCAAGATTCGTGGAATAGCGAGTCCATTGTAGGAACCGCTGTGGGGCCCACTTTTTGAGAACCTCCCAAGTGCAGCCATGGATACGCAGCTTTGCATGCGGCGGCTGGTGCGAGATGGACACAGGCAGTTTCTGGGGTTCTGCTTTTGGCGGGTCATTCAGGAATCCTTGGCAGAAGAAGCCTAATATGCTGGGAGGGTGGCGAAAATGCTTTATAAGAGCCCGCCGTAATCGTGTCCTGAGTTATCGAGGCTAGATGAGGGACGTTGTTGGATGTTTCCTTGGCAACGATCAGATTTTGTCATGTCCGGTCTGGTCGAGTATCGGAGAAGCCTTGCGCTCCTTTGCCGCCTGAAAGAGCCAAAACACTTACCACCATGTGCTTCCACAGCGAAGATGCCATGCTGATTTCTGTGAGAATCAGCGAGCGGCTTCTAATACGCATGCATGTATGTCATCATCTCGTAGCTTCAATTTGCTGGAGCCCTGCGGAGTCTCATAATTCAATTTAGAGTGTATGCCTCGGTCCGCAGCGCATCCCGGGAATATCCAGGAAGGTCCAAGGGCACTATTACGCTTGATCTTGTTGGCCCCACTTAGACTAACGTGTATGGAAGCTACGACAGCGTCTGAATGAATGACAGCCTCACGTATGGCAAGTTAGAAACTGGCCTGCAAGTTAACGCTGACAGGGATTATCTCACGCTTTTTATGAGACTGACCATAATCCGGGTATGCTGTAGAGAAGTTTCGCTGCCTCATCTTTTGGGCATTTTTTGGGCCACAAAAGCGTGACCCGTGGAACCGTGGAACTGTCCATTTTATCCGCACGTACCTTTACAGGATTGATATATCCAGGTTTGACGCCAGCATTTCTACCTAAATGTTGTCCTGGAAGTCCTTGACCTATGACTCCCAGTTTCCCGTCACATCCCTTCCTAAGAGTTGGAAAGTAAAGCTGACCCTAAACCCTAAACTAACTTTTTGCCCGAGAATCCAGGCATGGGGGTGATTGGTGGCGCCGAAATGTCTGTGTCAGAGCAGTGGTGTTCCCTGGAGCAGCGCCATGATGAGGCAGGTCACGAGACCTGGACCTCAAAAGTACCTACTGGAGTTGTTAGGGAATAGAGGAATATATTGATAAGGGATAATAGTCCCGTATTCCCAAATCACGAACCACCAGTGAGAGTAGGTAAAAGAACGGTCCCAATCCCACAAGAAGAGCTGAACGGTTTCGAGATGAGCTGGTCGGCCAAATCCAGCTACATCCCCGAAACAAAAGGCAGGGACGCACAAGATGACAGATGAAGACAGTAAAAAAGACTAAAGCAGCATTTTCTGTAATGGGGCTACTAACCAAACGACTGTAAGATATCCTTCTGATTGTAGTCATGATAGCTTTTGTAGAAAGAAGAACCTTCCACCGCAGGACTGAGTTCACTTGCTTTGGAGGTTTGCGCTCTTCTTGTGGACTGAGTGCCACTGCACTTCAATGGTGTTGTCAACGGTTTCCAATGATAACATATGATAACCACGGGAAGTATTGTAGGGATTCTTATGGGTGCCGGAAGCACAGCGAGGATGTCAATTCAGCTGTTTAGACATGTGTCTTGTAGCCTCACAAGGATTACCAAGGAATGCTATCCATAGTCGAACCGCTTTTCTATATCATGAGGTTTTTTGAGGTGTAGAGTGTAGAGTTAAGGAAGACGAATTCTGAACAGACATGGCGCAGGTGACCATGACTGAAGAGCTGCTGGAGAAGGCTTATAGGGCTTAAAACCGGATAATGGCAAAGAAATTGAAGCTGCGATATTATAGGGGTAAATTGAGGTCAAGCCCAGTTTCCATTTCATGTCCATTTTCTTGTCGATTTAGAGTCTCTGTTCTTTGGGTAATATCCCCTTGGCCCTAGGCCCTAAACCCGATACAGTCTCACACAAGCCTGCATGACCTTGTAGGGTCCGACGGGTCTTTACTTCAAGCTAACATGTCACTCTACATGGTTCCCGTGCAAACGCGGATGGATTGGCGCGTGGGGGCCCTTTCGGGGTGCAGCAGGGCACAGAAGCGCAGGGCACATTTTTTAAAGGAAAGTCTGACAACCAAGATCAACCGCAGGGTGCGATCCCTCGTAAAATTGCAGCATCAAAGGGTCCACACACAGCCCTCACAGCTATCTGATTCCTCCTTGCAGGCACGGGCGCAGTTCCACCGTGGGGATGTCGTTTTCCTCCACCACGTCGTGGCAGTTTGCTTCCCAGAGCTCTGCACAGTCAAAGCAGCCCGCAAAGCCCTACGCCAGGGCCATGTGACTAGATAAGCAAGGGGTTTTCAAATGAATTGCAGAGGGTTGAGGGTCCCAGTAATAGAGAATCAAATGCACAAGAAAATGGAAGATGAGATGGAAACTGAAAAATAATTGCCCTTGGGAACCCTACGAATCCGTGAAAGCAGCAGCAGTGATGGGGACTTGTGAGCATCAGTGTGCCCTAAGAGTTGTAGTAAAAATAGTAACAATAGCTCATTTCATCCCAGGGCGGGCCCATCACTTTCAGCTTCGTTGGGTAACGTTTTGTTGCTGGGTTTGCTACACCTTGCAAGAAATCTTGAGGAGTCTCACACAACAGCCACTCCATAATCCTGCAGAAGGACCATTCAAATCCCCTCTTAAACGTTACAGATCCCCAAAGTGGCAAGGATTTGAGAGCCCCACCCCTGAGGTGCTGGTGAATGGCAGCGAAGAACGTAGCCATGATGCACTTGCGCCGCCACCAGGGAGTCAGCTGACAGCCTGCCTCGGAAGTGTGGATGCCTTCATTCCAGACGTGGAGGAATCCGGGACCATAATGTGGGTAATTATGCCTTAAACCCTTGTATAATCCAAGTGCCCATTTCATGTTCCACTGTCTTTTCCACTTGATTCTCCAGTATTGGTAGGTATTGGTTTGGAACTTCTGCGGCCTAGAGGGTATGTTGGGGATGCCCTAAATCAGAGCCGTCGTCCGGCGTCGTCCTACTGTGTTGGAAGCAACAGCGGACGTCCGGAGATCAGAGGGTCTTATTCACAAAGCGTTTTTCCAGATCAATATGACATTGGTGAGAAATTGTCCTTTAAAAGCCCAAACATGCAATCACATGCCCCTTAGACTAAGCAGAGGGGTCCTCTTCCCTGCAGGGGGTGTTTGTAGTAGGTGTCTAAAGGGGCCCGAAGAGGGGAAAGGCCTGGAAGAGTCGCTGCAATCCAAAAAAGTCAGCTCACATTCGGAGTACGCAGCCCCCGCACTTTTAGCTGACCAAGCAGGCTGTGCTGCGGACCTTCAACGCAAAATCCGATCGCTTGGAAGCTAGACGCACAGCTGCAGAGTACGGATTTTTGCTGGCGTGGGCTTTTGCTGTTGAAGTTCAATAAGATGACCCCCACGTATTGGCCTTTCATGAAATCCGCATGACTAGGGCCCCTGAAGATCTCCTTGCTTGTCATTCTCCACCTTTGTGGTAGGTAATGGCTTTTGCAACCCAGGGGATGTTAAGAATCTTAAGAGGCACGAAGCTTTTTAAGCCTGAGCAAGTTTCTTAAACACACAGGGACCCACAAAACACACACATTTAAAGGTGTATCTTTGCAAAAATGGGTGTGTGCCAAAATGATTGGCTTGTAACAGGCCCAGGTCCCACACCCGTTGCACATCCTATCGCATGGGATGTGTAAACAGAGAGCGGTTTGCGCGACACTCCCCGCAAACTTGGTGTTTCACAGAAAGCTTCAATGAGCACGACACATGGTATGTAGCATGATGGCATGTCTAGGGGTATGCAACAGAGGTGACGGGGCGCGGAATGCGACAACAGCAGCTTTCGTCACACATCCAACCTTAAGCCTTCTTAGAAATTCCCACAAGCCGCCCACCAAGGAATCCGTTTGCTGCGGGAGAGTCGTGTTTCTGGCTGGGCCGTCGCTCCTCAGTGATGATAGCAACATGTGCAACATATAAGTTTATCCCTATTCGAGATTGCTGGTACATGGCCCAAGGATTGATTAGGTTGGGGTGGGGGTGGTGAATTGCGGTATATGCGAGCTGAGATTCCACAAGGGCTGCAAACAGATTTTGCGCGACTTCACGAGACTCAGAGCATGCCTACGCGAAATCCCAGACCACAGCCTGAGCTCGAAGCGCTTATCCTCCCGCAAACTGACATGGCACGTCAAACAGCATTGTAGAGACTGGTACCCCTTTTAGATATTTACGGGCCGGCTACGTGGGATTCTAGGTTCTGGGGAGGGTGCGCACCAGGTGAACAAACCAGCAGGCCTTCACTGTCGGCCCTGTGGGTTCAATGGAAAGCTTCTGACACTGGAGGACATGCACGGCCAAAAACGTGCATGAAGATCCAAATTGGCACTGTGAAGGCTGCGGCCAGTGTTAAAAGTTTCTTGAATTACCATGTCTGTTACTTATTGGAGTGTACTCAACGTGCGGCGTAGCGGTCTTCTTTGAATCGAAACATCGGGCTGCCTGAGGGTGTAGGTCAATCCTTGCTTTCTTTGAGTGTCGTTCATCATATTGCCAGGTCCGAACAGGTGTGTAGGATAAAAAGCAAGAACTTAATTACATGGTTCATGATGGTGTGAGAGTTTCGCAGAAGTGCATGAGCATTCTCTTGTAATCGCTTTATACTTCCCTCCAGTCCGCTATGTTGAGAAAAAACACATTTCGATTTGGACGGGGTCTTTATCACATGCGCCCTGAAACATCCTTCAGCCATCTTCAACCCTGAGCCCTCAAATCCTCGGGCCCCAAATCAGAAACCCTTGCATACTTCAACCCCTATAGTCCCCCTTAAGTAGCTAGAAAATGGGGTATATGGGGGTTCTTAGTATAATGCACCCAAAGCCATATTAAAGGGGACTATAACCCTAAAAGGACTACCTTCCGGCAGTGGTGGGGCCGCCTCTGGCTGGAAGTCATTGCAGCGTGGCCGTAAGATTCTTATTAGTCTGTCATCACAATCTTCTGCATGGGCTCTGGTTCTAGGGTCTAGGATTTAAGATTTATGGGACAGTCTTTACTATTCAGGGTTTAGGATTTAGGGTTTGGGGCTTGGGGTTTTAGGCTTCAGGGCTTCTATCTGTATATATATATAGAGCTTTCAGTAGCCATCTGCGAGAAATAGTTTGTATTTGCGACATGTGTTTGCCATAGGCGTGTGCGAGATTGGAAGCTCTTGCGGCAAGCATCGTGGAAGCCGTCGCAAGGAAAACTGCGCGGAAGAACACGGCAGTCTATTTATGTTTGCGTGCCGGCGCAAGTACGTTCCTTGTGTACGTACCTTAAAAGCATGGACTAGAGGAGGCTCCTCGAAGCCAAAGATAAACTCTTGGCTGCACTCACATGTAGAATCCAGAGGGTCCTGAGTTTTTACACACTCTAGAACTCTATCTCGCCGCCACTTGATAGGAACCCCACAATCCCTTTCCAGTACCTGCATGTCCCTAGCCTAGAGTCCCTGATGACGCCTGCTTCATTTCCTTGCAAAGGCAAAGGTCCTCGAGCCTGCCATCGCTTGGACTTCCGTGTTGCAGGCCCAGTGGTGGTCGCGACAAGCCAGGAAGCAATGCGTGGCATGGCTTCAGCTACTAAGCCGTACTATGAAAGCCCATATAGGCCTTACTTGGAGCCTCTTCCCAGGAGGTGGTGGAAGTGGGGATGTAGGAAATCGGCTTCGTCAAGAACATGGGCAAAGGCATGATCAAAATTATTTACTGCCGCACTAACACCATGTGGCCCTGGACCTTTTCCTTTCAGAACAGCATGACTGTGCCTTCCTCCTTTCATGAGGCAGCATCAAAGCAGCGTTTGAGAACCGACGGGTGAAGAAAGAGTATCGCGCGATCGCCTCGTGACTGCACCTAGAGGTAGCGTGGAACTATCAGGTGCAGATGACTACGCAGCTAATGGGAGGAACCAAGCAGGCTGTGCAGATGTTTCGGGCTCCTCATGGCGCCTTGCATGGACTCGAACTAGATGAACATGACGGAGACCTGTTCCCAACTACATTCATTTCTCTCAGGGTTTGGGCAACCTTGGGTGGGGCCACAAAAGCTGAGGTCTGTGGCTGCCCTGCGCAGCCCGGAGAACGCTTGCAAATCTCAGCTCCAGTCGAAGGAGAGGAGGCAACGACAGAGCTAGAAGTCCTTCAGGTTGCTGGGTTGCTGTTAATGAACTTAATTTAACTTACTATATTGGGGAAAGGAAACCCTATTATTTACTGTATATACCCATTATGGTAACTTATTTTAAGTTCCTTAACAGCAACCCAGGTTGTTCCCTGCCCTCATTATGGTAATTTGTCAGAGCTTCGGCTTGTTCCCATCACTGGGCGACATCACCAGCTGCGACAGCACTGCGCAGAAACCCTGGGCACTCCAATCGTCAACGAGGAGAAGCCGCTGTTCAACACAGCTGCGGGCGCATGGCAGAAGCGAACTGGGATTCCTTTGCCTCCCTACTTCTCGAGGGGCAGGGGCTGTTTGTTTCTACAGGCCACCCAGATAAGTTTCCCAGATCCTTGCAAAGACTCTGCAGAGCCTGCTGTCACAGTGCAAGTGCCAGTCTCCCAGCGCTTTGAGCGGCTGCTTCGAACATCGGCGCGGGCTTTTCAGGAGGGCTGGCGCTCTTCAGGCGATGGGCAGACCTATCGAGCAGATGCGTCTTCAAAAGATTGCCCATGTACAGTCCTGCCATTGGATGGCAGCGTGGGAAAGGGGGATTCGAAAGGTGGATATTTAGAGTCAGCTGACGTGGAAAAGGCGACCATCATTCATACATTGAGATTGAGATGCGCTGCAGACATTCTCCGTATGGACCCGTTGAAGCTAACGTCCGGCAACCATTGGTAGTTATGCCTTTCCGAAGCGCCACGGACTACCGCAATTGTCGTCATTGCCCCCACGCATGCGCAACTACTTCCCCGAGTAGTTATGCATAGTCATATTGTGCGGTATAGAACTGTTGCAAGTATGAGCCGAAGTATACTTTGAACATATTCAACAGTATATGTACTTTTCCACCTGACATTCCCAGGCATGGCCGCTTTGATGGGCGCCAAATAGACTGGGGACCGGAGGCCGGGAAACACAATTTAGGCAGTGGTGGTAATTTTCGTGGTAGTGGAGTTTTTCGTCGTGCAAGTTGCCAAAATGGGCATGTTCGCAAGCACCGACGAAACAGTAGGGGGAGGCGCAGGAGTAGGCTTGAGTAGGAGATGGGACTCTGGGGTAGTTCGGGAATATTCCGAAGATAAAATCAGGCTGGTTTGAGACAAAAGCAGGACAGAACCTTCTCGCCACCTTTGTCAACAGGCTTAGGAGGTCACATGGGCTTATCCATTGCTCGGACAGTTGCAGTTCAGAACACGGTGCCATTTGTCTTGGGAGTAGAGACGTCCAAATATTGATGTTTCGTGGGTTGCTTCCTGAGCTCCCAAGTGCATCTGCATGTGCCTTGAGAACTGATAACAGGTGTAGCCATGTGGATCAGTCTGCAGTTCAGCCAGCATGCCAAGCATGGTATGCTGCCAGAAACGCTAGAAGCCCCCAGGTGGAATAGAGATTTAGCTGTCCAGTATGTTGAAGTAGCTATTGCATTTACATCCCTTCCCTTTCACAACATGCCATCTTCCCTCATACAGGCCCCGAGACCTGTTTGCCTACGCCTTGAAGCAGCAGCATGCCTCATGCAGGAGACGTGGCACCGCTTGCTGGACCCCGGCGAGGCTGTTCATTCACGGGTCTAGGCAGTGCCAACTTCTGGTATCCAGTCATCTGTAGGGCTCAGACTCACAAGAATTGGTTCACAGCAAGGGGATCCCTTGATGGTACTCGGAATATCACCTGAAGGGTGCACTGGTGAACTGTGGTTCAATCCTGCGATGTACACGCACATGGTCATAAATCATTCGACTTTTCTTCAGCAACGGCACAATTCATACCTCCGCTGCAATCCTTGGGGACACTCGCAGTTTTTTGAAGGGTTGAGGAATTATGTAGTATTATGTGGGGATTATCTGGGCTTTAGGGACATTACCTTTAGGCTTAGAGAGAGACAGAGAGGGTGAAGGGTCTAGGTCTAGGGTTTTGGGTGCCAAGAATGGAGAATCAGATGGCAAAGAATATGAAACATAGAATGGAAATTGGGACTATGTGGTGACTTATAGGGATTAGTGTTAAAAAGCGGGTGCCCTTTTGGAAATACCTAATTGAGAATCATTATGATAGTTTCGGGTCCATTTTGGGGGTCTCCCCCAAGTTTATGGAAGCTACCATTTGAATGGGTATATTGGGGTCCTAAACCCTAAATAGTAGTTTCCATTTTCTTTTCCATTATCCCTATAGTAACCTTCTTTGGGGATCTCAGCAGTCTTAGAAGCAAGCACTGAAGCTGTCTGCAGGGGGATGCCTTCCACAAGTCTGTCGTGCCCGGCCCAGCATGGTCCAGATTTGCACACATGTGTCTGGCCGGAAGCAGCCGCTGTGGAGGCTATGCTGTAGCTGGCTATGCTGTAGCTCTCGGACTCCACACTTTGGCTAAATGTTCATGTGTCCTGCTGCTGCATTGCTGACTTTGCACACGAGTGTTGCCAGCATCGCCAAGAACAGCCAAAGATGCGATTTCACCCGTGTTGAAGCCTAATACGTGCATATTTGGGGGAACCTGTGCTCTAACATTTCCACCCCGAGTAAGTCTGGCAACATTCCATCCATCGCTGCCCATCCAAATCCGCACCATGTAGGCAGACGTAGGTGCCAAATAATCTACGATCATGGTGAAAATGGGAAAGAAAATGGATAATTCAAGTGGAGGCTGGGTGCAACTAGGCAACTAGGTTTTGTCGTAAATTTGCCACTTCTCAAGAAGAGTCATTAACTTGCTTGTCCATGCTGTAAGCTTGCAAGCGTATGTACAGGCAACTCCCAATGACAAAGCCCTGCCTTGTGCCATGCGAGCGGCAGCATCCCAATGAAACCCACGCACGAGCTTCGTATCCATACTTTTGTGCTACTGTCCGCTCATGCTCTGTTATATTGGGATACATGGTTACATTGGGATAATGGAAAATGAAATGGAAACTACTATGTTATAAGTGTACAGCCACACTCATGAATCAATGAATTCATCAAACTCAACCTGCTAGCGCATCTGGCCTCAAGCTACATCCTGGACCCTAAGTTGCCATGTACCCTGAGGCTATGGTGCGTCTCATTGTGCTGGAACCTCGCGCCGTTGGTTTGGGGATGCGCGTGTCAAGGGTGCCTGAAGGGTACTTTTTTGGAGGAACTCCCTTTGATTCCCCTTAGCCCTGAAGTCTCGAAATTATCAGTACCGGCACCCTTAAAGATCTTGTGGTGCAAAGAGAAGGTTACCTTGCAAGAATTAATTGGCCCTGGAAAGGGATGCCCAAAACCCTATGCTAAGAGCCCTCCTTAATTTATGATACAAAAGACCCCATGTGCCCTGCAAAATCCTCGCATAGTTTCCATCTCATCTGTACATACTCTCATGCTCCCCATGTTCTTTCTACACCATCGCCCGGCCCCCAAGCTCCAAGCTACTCTAAACCCTCAACCATCGCCTTAGCCCGCAGCCCCAAACTCGGAGCAAACAAAACGGACGACCCCTAACCCTAAGCACGGAACTAGAAATGTAAAACTCGACAATGCGCTACCTTATGCCCGGAAAGCTAGGAAATATACAAAGGTTTGGGTGGATCACTATTATCATTATGATTACTTTTCTTACTACTACTACTACTACT